AGAGGAAAAATGTAGAACAAAGAAACCTCACTGGACAATGGTACGATTCTCGTCCCAGGTCAAACAGAGATGGATAGTGAGAGAGTTCATCATGCTACTCAGAACAATGTGCAATTTAAAATTGATGAATTATTTATTTCTGGAATTTTGGACTGCAATTGACCACAGATAACTGAAACCAAAGAAAGCAAAAACTACAAATAAGGAGGGACTACTGTATTGATATGTTAGTGCCTAAGTCTGCCATTTGCTTTTTTTTTGTTTGTTTTTTTCTGGTTCTTGTCTCTCTGTTTCTCTTTTCTTGTTTTCCTATGGCTCAGTAGAGAGGTTTTTGTTTGTTTGTTTTTCTTTTTGTTAATCCTCACTGAGGATATTTTCCCAGTCAAAGCAATAACTGGCAAGAAAAAAATGAATAGAAACACCAAGAACACGTTACAAATAGAATAGACAAAATAAGCCACCACACATTTATTAGTAATCTCATAGTGTATTGCATTGCATTAGTAATGCAAATAGGTTAACTTCTCCCATTAAAAGACAAAGACATTTTTTTTATGTGAATGATGTGCAAAACCTATACACAACATTGTGACTGTGAGGATGGGGCTAGGATATGCTTGGGAGGACAGGCAATGGTTTTGGCAATGAAGTAAAATGCTTAGTTTGGGACATAATCTTTTGAGGAAAGGAAAATCCTGAAGAAAAAAGGTAAAAGGCACAATTATTTTTTTTACTTCATCATTTTTATTATTTTCATGTAATATTTGAACATAGATGGAGCTCAACAGAGTAGAAGTCATGGACCCATCTAAAGGTTTTATGATATAAATTATGTGGACAGACTAAAAAACGTGAAGTGGAAAAAAGAAAGTACTTTGCAGGAAAAGGTGAGAAGAACACAATGCAAAGGGTGTTGGTTCTCAGCCAAGGTCAGCAGGGATATAGATCTGTTCTGCAAGTGTTGGCCAGGAAGTTACAGAGGCAATGAGGGCAAGTGGCCCTTAATTTTCTCAAAGTAAAAGATAAGTTGTGTGAATGGTGACTTGATGAACTTCACTACATCTAGGTCATTCCCCATCTTCTTTTCTCTTCCTCCCTCTCTTCTCTCTCCTTCCCACATTTTCTGTTTTTCTTCTACTCATCCCATTTTATGGAAAATGTGTGTGTGTGTGTTTTTTTCCAGTTATTGTTTATATTTAGTATTATTCTGTATTAGTTTCAGGTGTACAGCGTAGTGGTTAGACAGTGATTTTCTCTCTCTCTCTCTCTCTCTCTCTCTCTCTCTCTCTGTCTCTTTCTTTCTCTCCTTCCTTCCTTCCTTCCTTCCTTCCTTCCTTCCTTCCTTCCTTCCTTCCTTCCTTCCTTCCTTCCTTCCTTCCTTCCTTCCCTCCTTCCTTCCTTCCTTCCCTCCCTCCCTTCCCTCCCTTCCCTCTCTCCTTTCTTTCTTCTTTCCACAAAGTTGAATTCTATGGACCAATTTCAACCACCAGAGTACTACAACATCCAAGTCAATGCTTAAAAACCTCAAATAAAAACCCAGCAAGTCCGGTTGGTGTGGCTCAGTGGTTGAGTGTCGACCCATGCACTAAGAGGTCACCGGTTTGATTCCCAGTTAGAACACATGCCCAGGTTGTGGGTCTGATCCCCAGTGGGGGGCATGCAGGAGGCGGCCAATCAATGTTCTCTCTCATAGATGTTTCTATCTCTCTCTCCCTCTCACTTCTTCTCTCTCTAAAATCGATAAAGGAAAAAAATATATGGTAAAAAAAATAACAACAGCAAATGGCTTTCAGTACAGGGCAGCAGTTGTGGTCATTTCTGGCTGTGAGCACCTGAAATCTCAGGGAGGACATGTATTTGCAGTCCTGTGAAGAGCATGTTGTTAAGTCTAATTCCCAGAGAATGATTGCTAGCCTTGTGGATAATCCGGTACCTTTCGTTCTCTTTGCTTCTTTTTTTCCCATTTATCGGTCCTTCATTTTTTTTTTTCTGAAAAAGATGACCCAGGAGCTATAAAGAAGTTGAGAAAACTGTTTTCTTTTTAAGCAACTCTAACATCAAAATATAATTCAGGGAGAAGCAAAATGAAACATTTTGGTTTTCAGGTTTATTTCTGGCTCCTCTTACTGAATACACTTGAGTCAGCCGAGAACTTAAAATGCATATTTAATTCATGTTTAAGGCCATGGATTGTCTGTAATATATATGTTATCCTTGCCTTTTAACCTACTGTTGTCTGTTACAAATGTACTTTGTATTGTGTAATAGATTACACTTTTTTTAGGTAAATGAGTCAGGTTTGACAGATTTACCTAGCATTTAAGTCATTTTAGCTAGCAGATAGCAAAAGTCATCAAGAGGAGTCACCCTTAAAATCTGGTAATTTTGTTCATGGGATTTTCCTAAGATAGGAAACAATGGCTTTATGTTTTTCAGTGTGAAACAGCAAAATGTTAAAATTGTGTGTGCAGATATGTGTTTGTATGTTTGTGTATATGTGTATTTGTGGACTTCTCTGTATTTGTCTGTTTGTGTATGCGTTGAGGGTCAGCCACAGTGGTGCATATTAAGATATAATTTCTAAATGTATTTTGTTAGTAACTAGACTGCTAAAAGGATTAGCAAGTGTCCTGTTCATTATCATAACAGCAGAGCACTTGATCTTACCTAAGCCCTGTTCTCACCAGTACACAATCTGAACAGCAGGTGGATTTGGAATTGACCACCCTCTGCTGCCCGAACTTCATTCACAATGAGATTTATGCAGTGAAACAACAAATGATCTGGTCAGCCTTTCCAATTAGTTAAATAAACTGAAAATGCTTTTTTGACAAAGTGATGATGATGCTGGTATGATAATTAAAGAATGGTGTTTTTGCATCACTCTAATCAGACATGTTTAATCCTGCACCAGTTATCACCAATGCAATTAAAATGATGCAGGGAATTAAATGTTGAAGATGGAGGCACCAAGGAGTGGACTCTGATCCTAAAGGAAAAATTTGAAAGCATTCAATCAGGCCTGAGTCTCAGAAAGTGGGACACTGGTCACACTGCAGCCTAGGCCCTCTGTCCATGTTCCTGAGGGCAGAGTGCTGAGGGACAGTGCAGTCAGGAGAGAATTGCCTTGCATACATCTAGTGCCCTGGGCTATTGCTGTCTTCAGTAGATGAAGATGTGGAAATGGGGCAGTCAAGTTACCTTCTTTGAGCAACTCCTTCAAAAGGAAAAAGGATACATTTAATGACAATACATGCAAGTCTTCCATGTATTTTAAGTTGTTATTAAATATAGTAAAATAAGTTGACAACAAATGTATTTCAGAATTTATTAGAATAGATGCATAATACAAAGTGCAAAAGATGACAAACCTACCACTTCTAGAGGCAGAGTCAAGATGCTGCTCAGCTTCTCAGAGTTCTAAGGATCAGCATCTTGTTCAAGTGTTCCCTCCCTCCAACCTGCAAAGCACTCATGCCTAGGATGAAACTAAACCCTGCATTGAAATCGCATGATTCCAGAATTAGTAAAACAAAATTTTAAATACACATATTTAAAATACTTACATTCTCATTTATCATTCATGAAGTGATTAGACATTTATACTTATACCTAATATAGCAGAACAAGACCTTGCACAAGCTTAAGCCAAATATGCAAAAACAACTTCAGCCCAGGGGAGCAGAGGACAACATTTGCTGAAAGAAAACACTTGCCACCTTGCAGATAAAAGAACCTATTCAAGAAAGTAATTCTAGAGTTTCTTCCTAAAATAGATGGGCATTAAGTCTAAGAGGAGACCAAAACACAATTAATTTTCTTAAAAAAAGCACTTTAGTTAGTATTAGTTCCTAAAATCTGAACTGGAATAAGGTATTTGATTGTTGGGTAAATGGGGAATTTTGATTATTATCCTTTTTTTGGTTGACGCCACAAACCACACAGATTTAAGCAGCAGGTTTTGCAGCCAGGTAGGAACAGATGTTCTCAGAACTCATATCTCAGATTCCCACAATGAACCTATTGTTTAAGATGATGGAAATATGTTGAGTCATCACACGATTTGCAGCTGCTAGAAAGCAATGCTTTCCTGTTTTCCTATTCTAGACAATGGAGAAGTTCAGAAGAAAAATAATGCAAAAAGCCTTTCCTATATTTGCTTTAAAAATTGCATTATTTTGAAACTAGTACTTTTTTGTAAAATCTCATCTCTCTTCTTTTAGTTTTCACAAAAATATTTATAGAAAAGAAAGTTGAAATAAAAGTAACTAATGATGAAATCCATATTCTTCAAAGGTTGCTCCAGGCTGAGATTCAGGTCCCATCACAACATGCTCAGACAAGTGCTTATGATTAGAACGTGAAAGCAGACAGCAATGCATACATTTGTGTTTAAGAGAAAAGATTTATTTCCTACTCAGTTCCTCCTTCATGATGTACATGACTATGTATTACATGCTTAACTTTTGATTCTACTTGTTTGCCTGATCATGGGAAGATGTGAAGAGGAGCCTTTGCCAAATGTTTCTAGGTTACCACTGAATAACATTTAGGGCTAGAGGTGGCCGTGAAAAGCCTGGCAATGACTGCACCCCTGGAGTCTTCCTTTCCTCAACTCAGAAACTGTTTAATTCATACACTTAATGCTGCTGGGAAAATACCATGTGGATGTGTAGCATTACAATGATCAAGCTACCCTCAACAGTTGCTTGTGCCTGGAGGCCATGCTGTTGAGCAGTAGTGGGTCATTCTGCAAAGGATGCTCATCAAGTCCACCACTCCCTAGGCATTTTCAGATAGTTGTTCCACCCCTGGTTTTCTCCATCCCTCATATTCCCTAGAGAGAATTGTCCTCTTACACCAGGCCTCTACAGATAGTAAAGAAAAAATGGAGCGCCCTGGCTGATTTGGCTCAGCCGTAGAGCGATGACCCATGAACCAAAGAGTCGTGGGTTTGATTCCGGTCAAGGGCATGTAACTTGGTACAATTTGTCCCCAGCCCTGGTTGGCATTGTGGAAGGCAACCAATCAATCTGTTTCTCTCATGTTGGTGTCTCTCTCTCTCTTCCTCCCTCTCTCTCTCCAACCCTATCTGAAAAAAAGATAAGGAGCAAAGATTGTTCCTAAAAATAAGAAATGTGCCTAGTTAGCTTCATGTTTAAAGATGTCCTCTCCCTTTAAATTATCTGCCTTGGGAGTTGAAGGGTAGGAGGAAGTGAGTTTGTCCCAAATATAAGTTTTCTGAGTGTCCTGGAATGATTGAACTATGGGAAATACTATTTAGACCAAAGTCTCCATTGCCTTTGTGCCTGTTGCCAAGTAGAACCTTCTCCGTCTTCCTTTTGTGTCACTTGTTCTGCTGCTTGACAGATCAGAAACAAAACAACACCTGGTCTGTCCCTGCCCAGGGGCAGGTTGGAGGGGTCTACACATTACAGATCCACTTCTCCCCATGCTCAGCCCCATCCGTTTATCTGGCTGTGTCATGACCGAGCCACCTGCGACCCCTGTGAATAAATGAGCAGTTTCCCAATGGCCATGCAGCCAACGGGCACTTGTTTATTCATTGCTGTGGCCCAGAGCTCCTCAATACAAACATGCAAATAACTCAGATAGAAATACAGCAGTTGTAACTGGGAGATTAAAGCATCTGTTTGAGCACAGTAATTTCATCAGATTCTCTGCTTGAGGTCATCCAGGTCTAGGATCTTGACCACCTGTGGGCAGTGGTATGAGAGCAGGAGACCTCACTGGCCTTTAGAGGGCCAACTCTGCCAGAAAAGATTCTGAGGAACTGCTATTTATCAACACAATTATCCCCTTGTGGGGTCTATAGAAGAATCAAACACCGTGGAATGAGAGGACATATTGGTAACCTCAGATAATTCAAGGCCCACAGCATCACAAAGGACTCGGGCAAAGCCCAAATTAGGAATGTCTCCTTCATCCAAAATGAAAAGAAAACTGTAAAAACCTAGGGGTAATGCTGTTGAATTTGCATTTATTTCATGTAAGTGCCAATACTGGTCAGCAGCACATCTGGCCAAGTCTTTAAAATTATCTGAATGGCCAAACAGTTGGTTCCAATACAAGAGACTGCCAAGAGTCCTGTGATCAATGGGCACAGCTTTTGTCTCCTGGAGTGTTAAAACCATGTATTCTGAATGAAAACTGACTTTATAAAGCAGAACTTCCAAACCCCTAATAGCCCCCCACAAAGCCTTCACCTTTCCTTTCACACACATCCTGCAGTTTTCCATTGTCTCATAAAAAATATTAAATAGTAGGATCCTATATTTCAAAATTGACAAAACAATACTTACTTGACTCTGAAGGCCAGCTGTGCACCTGATGCTACTCCCACCCAGTGTTAACTTCTGGGACAGTTACTTTTCTAAGGCAAAACCAGAAACAATAGGGTGTCCTCCTTCTCAGAGACAGAGTTTAGAGTCTCTGGATGGAAACACATTCTCTCTTTACTTCTGCATGGTGGCAACAGAAAGCCCCCAGGCCACTGGAAGCCTCACAGTGCTACTCACAGGTCTATCAATTTTAACCATTTCAGCTGCTTTCTGGCTATGTAGGTGATACATTATGGACCACATCATAAGGTGAAATCTTTGCAAGTGAGTCCTTAAAAATGAGGATATAAATTAAAGTTGATTTGAGCAGTTTTTTAGTAGCAAAAAATTTTAGTTATTCTCTCTTTCTCTCCCCCCACCCCTTTCTAAGGAAAAGAGCGAAAGCAGACACAAGTTCCTGAAGCAGCACTGGGACAGTCATCATGTGTGACTTGTCCCTGACTGTTCTGTGTACGACAGCCACGAATCAGGATCAAGTTGTCAGGATGCAATGTCGATTGTAAACTGTGCTAAAAAATTTTGTGATGACAAATTTCAGAACACAGCAAGTCATCTCACACATCCTTTAGAAACAATCAGAATGACAGATTTTCTAGTGTGCCCTCTGTCTACAGTTGAAGCCCCAACATCCAGCGCTGTCTGAGGTGAAGGCAGGGAAGCTCAGGTTGGGAGTGAGTGTTGGAGATGTATAGGCTTGTCCTTGGCTTTTTCCTTATGAGTGTTCTTCTCATCAATAGTCAAGTCTGTGTTAACAGTAGAACATTTAGATGAATTTAAATCCAAGTGTTTGTGAAACAAACCCTTTGCCTCGCTCTTCAGCACTTATGATTATTCATTTTCAAAACTGTTGTACATCCCTTCATACAACTTTAACTACATTTTTCAGGCTCCACTAACAAATAAACCCAAGACTATTGAAAACTTAAGAACAAAACGTGATTTCTAAACTCCCTACCTCTTTACTAAGCCAGTAAGTGGATTTCGGGTCATTGAAGAGAATTTCAACAACATCAAGATCAGCAGGATTTGTGGTGGAAAAGTGCATGAATATAAATGCAAAGACGTTTTCAGTCCTAAATATATTCTCTTTGACAAAAAAAAAAAAGTATATTGTTTATATACTTAAACAATAACTGACTTAATCTTCATTATACTAAATAGCATAATCAAACCCCTTTTCTTCTTAGATGATTCCAGTGAATGGATAAGTGGTTCAAAAGAAGCCCATTAGAACCTGACTAATAATCCAGAACCAATGCAGAAAAATGAAATCAAGCATATTTGAATTTGAAAAGGGAGAATGAGTGACAATTAATAATATTCACAAAATTTCTGTCATGACACTACAACCCCTCACTTCCACTTCATTTAGAACACATCTGCACCTTCCAAGTTGCCTGGCTTTTAAGGAGAAAGTTTAGTATTGTTTGCTAAGATTTCAGTCCAGTCTTTCAGAAGAATGTGGATTCCACCTTCTCACAGAGGATCTGAGCTCTGAGAATGGTGGCAACCACTGACAGCGTCTCTGGGGCCACCTCAACTTCAGCAGTCTGTCCCAGGAGTGAGACTATGGAAAACAGAAGATGACAGCATTGGAAGCTGCTGCACCCTACCATGCATGTCTAGACCCTGGGGCAAGGGGGAGGGGGGGAGGCATGTCCACCCAAGCTGCGAGCGAGGCAACTGTTTTAAGGGAGCTCCAGCATGACTTCGGGTTGACAGCACGGTTAGGATTACCATCCAGCATGGACAGTGCCTGCCCCTGCCCTCTGCTTGTTTGTGCAGGGGTCACTGCTCACCCACCTCCCTGTATCTGCCCGCTCCTGCCCACGGGGAAACTTCAGTCCTCTTTACCTGTACTGGTTCTCCATGGCCCTGTTTTCAGCTCTTTCTGGAACCCAGGAGTAGCTGTCTGTCGCACTCTGGGGCTTTTTCTCCTTTTCCTCCCTCTTGGCTCTCCGCTTGCGGTAGATCAGCAACCCTAGGGCCAGAGCCAGCAAGAGTAAGATGGCCACCACGGTGCCGAGGATGTAGAACAATAGAAGCTTTTGCCCATCGGGGCCATTATCCCTTTGTTGAACCATGAAATCCCCACTTGTAGACTCCTCATGGCCAGTGGTGGCTGTGGGATGATAGTTGCTGGGTTCCATCCAGATTCCAGGGGACCCACTGGTGGATAGAGTCTGGGATGATGTAAGGGTAAGAGAGGCATTGGATAGGAGAAAGAGTTTCCCCATAGTGGGTGTCTTCTTGGAGGTTCCCTCAGGGTCCCCAGTTGGACTTGGTGTTGTTGTAGAAGGCACAAAGCTCCCCTCTCTATCTCCCGTGTTCTCCTCCTGGAGAGTCTTGGCAGATGGTACCAGGGACATGAAGCCTGTGATACAAGAAACCCCATCAGAGGCCAACTCACTGCCTGGCAAGCAGCCACAGCGGAAGGACCCTTGCATGTTGAAGCATAAGTCGTTACAGAGGCTGCCTTCCAGGCCCGCACACTCATCCACATCATGGCACTGGGTACCATCCTTCCCAGCCAAGACATAGCCATCCTCACAGGAACAGTAGAAGGATCCATCTGTATTGGTGCAGCCCTGGGCACAGGGTGAGTGGCCAGGGGCACATTCATCCACATCTTGACAGGCCATCTCTCCGGGGCCACCAGGCTCATAACCCACCCAGCACTGGCAATGAAAGCCCCCAGGGGTGTTGACACACTCCTGGGCACAGGGGGAGTCCTGGCACTCATCCACGTCTACACAGTCCCACTGAGTGGAGTCTAGCTGGTAGCCTTGGGGACAGTGGCATGTGTAGTTTTTTCTGAGGGGTCCGGTGATGCATGTGGCCACCCCTCCACATGGGTTGGAGCTACAAGGGTTCCGGGAGGTACAGGACACTAGGTCATCCAGCAGTCGGAACCCTGGGTGGCAGCCACAGCGGAAGGAACCATCGCCCCCCTCGAAGCAGTCCTGTTGGCAGCCTCCGTTATTGAAGCTGCATCCGTGCTCAGGGCTGACACAGAGGGGCCCCGAGCTGCCCCAGTCAAACACATCAGTGGCCTTCTCCTTGCACAGGAAGAAATGCTGCCTACTCTTATCCCCATCCCCACAGGCCACATTGGCCACAGAGGCAAAGGGCACAGCTTCCAAGGAGGAGATGGTGGCCTGAAAAGGAGTGGTATAGTTCACCTGGCCTGGGCCCCCCAGGGCTAGGGGCCGGCACATGCCTCTGAAGCTGAACTTGCACACAAAGCCCTCAATGCTGCTTCCAGGAGAGCCCGGGATCCCACAGCGACTCTCAGACCACTTGGGGAGGTGGCTGGAGACGGAAGAAAGAGACAGGTGCAGCATCAAGAACACACAGCGCCTGGAGATGCAAGAGTTCCTGGCCCCCTCATGCCAATTGGAATAAGATGTGTCCTCCCCACCGTCCACCCAGCTGAAGCCCTTCAGAGGCAGGCTGGAGTTTGAGCACTTGCCCTTTTCTCGTTGGAGTCCTATCCAGAACTTGCCTGTCCGGTCTGCCAGGGGCACCCTGGGCTGTAGGAGCTGGGCCAGAACTCGCTGGATGTGCTGGGCCTCCTCTTCAGTCCTCACTGTGGCCAGGTTGCCCCCATTCTTGCTGCAATGAAGCTGGGCCTCGTCCGCACTCAGCTTGTCCCAGTGGGCTGAATAGCAGGCAGTCCCTACACACACCACTGCCTGTTTTTCAGTACCAGCCACAACCCAAGGCTGGCTCAGAAGCAGCAGCAGCAGCAGCACACTAGTGGAGGTGGCCATTGCAGCCTCCATGTCGCCCTCAGTGGGAGGCTGGAAGCCTGACAGTGGCAGTGCCTGCCCCAGCTGAGCTCAGAGGGAGCTGAAGGCTCAGACACTGACACTCTGACACAGAGACGGACACAAAGGCTGTGGGCTGTTCACATCCCCTGACCCAAGGCGCATCCTGTGCTGTTGTGTTTCTTATTTATCACCGGATACTGGGACTTCCTGCAGTGAATAGTTTTCTGACTCCTGTTGCCTTCAGCTCTGGGACACCGGCTGCTTTATTTTGGTCCCATTCTTTTCCATCTGTACGAGGAGTTTAAATGGCATGCTGCAGAGTGAGTGGAGACTTCTTGGGTCCAGGAACTTGATAAAGCTCACTGAGTAACCATAATAAAATTCCACTTTGGTTTGCAAACAACCAGAAAGGAGGAAAATCCTCAGACTTGAAACACCCAAGGCCATGGATGGTTATAATTTTCAGCATTTTTTAGAAGAAAAGTGGATTTTTCTTTTGCCTATCTCATGTTCGCTTCAGCTTTGGGAACCTTTTTTCTTTTATTCTTCCCAAGATAAACTTTAAATAGAGAGGCAGTTTTTAAATAGGAACTGGGCCGTGGGAATGTCTGAGTGTCTAATACAGTGCCAAGCTCCTTGAGAACATTAAACCAAACTGGGTGAAATTTAGCAGTTTTCAGGATTTCACAGTGCAAATATTGTGTTGGGAGGAGGAGGCAGTGCACAAAAAGAATCAGAAAAATAAAACAAAAATGTTTCTGGCCTCTGGGCACTGGGGTTTGATGCCTGCCTCCCCCACTCAGAGTTCCCGGGAAGGGTCAGAGCTCTGGGCCCAGAAAGAAAATCAAGGCCTGACTCCTGCCACCTTTGACATGGTTTTGTTGTTCCTAATAAGAGCCAGGCATCTTTGCAGACCACCATCTGCATAGCAGCTCATCAAAAGCCCTTCACTACAAGGTTTTTTTCCCCAGTATCACAGACCTGTTTTGCTTATTGGGGTTGTCTTTGATTGGGGTCCCCCAGAAGTAGACCCTGAGATAAAGATTTGGGGCATTTAGTTTATTTAGGAGGAGAAGTGAGACAAGAAAAATAGGAGCCAACACAAGGTGACTGAAAGAGCAGGTGACACTGGGCTCCTGGACCTCTGTTCCCTGGGACTCTGAGAGACAACATGGGCCATGTGGCAGAGTCTTCCCAGCTGAGGGGAGGGGTTGGGACAGGTCCCCTCCCGCTCACCTCCTCACTGGTGGCAGCAGCTCCTTGGTGTTCTGGTCTGACCGTGAGGACCCAGTACACCATAGGGAACACTTAGGGGGAGAATCACAGGGGATTGCCACAGGGCTGTGGGTGTAGTACCAGTGTCTACCATCAGCCCTCCAGAGAGATTTGAGTTAGGGTTTAATGGGGTTTAGGAATTCACTGGCTTTCAGCCTCCCCAAGGCATAAATAAGGTGCCCATCTCAGATTTCAGTTGGAGATCTTTCAGAGGTGTTTCTTACATCTTATTTTAATAAACTATTATTTGAGATAGCCCAGGGGCTTTCTCTCAGAACCCATAGGATCTTACCTGTGCTCCTTGGTGCCTATGGAGATCTATCCATCATTTATCCATCTACCTATCCATCCATCTGCCCACCTATATCCATCCATTTGTCCATCCATCCACCCAAAGTTAAGCCCCTACTATACGCTGGGCTCAGTACTAAGATTCTGGGAGGAAAATTCTGCATTCATGACCCTTAAAGTCTGAGTGCACAGATTTGAACATGTTGAACAGTTGCAACTGTGACAGGTACCACAAGGAGAAGTTCAGGGGTTCAGGAGATGTCTTTACCTGGTGGGAAGTAGGCCAGGCTCCTCAGTGGAAGAATGGCAATGAAGCCAGAATCTAAGTGATGAATATCTCAGAGAGAGAATGCTGTCCATAGAGGGGAAGAGCACATACCAAGGTTCTGTAGTGGGAAGGTTGTGACCTTCACAGGGAGTAAAGGAAGGGCAGAGAGACTACCTCCTGAAAAATAAAAAGGAAGGTCTGGAAAGATAGAGTCCTGTGAGTCTAAACAGTAAAGATTTAGGGCTACTTAAATCAGTGAGAAACACTACGGGTTAACATGCTGAGAAGTACATGAAAGAGTGCCTCCTGCTGCGGAGTGGGAAGCAGGCCAATGGACCATGAGCAGTATAAGGACCACTCAGCAGCTGACCGAAATTTCCTAGGCATAGAAGATGGTGACTTGAACTGAGTTAGGCCCCTGTATCAAGGACAGCAGATTCAGGAGATGATGAGGGACCAGATCTGGCCCCTCTTGATGCTGCATGGAGTGGGGTTGGAGAGCATGGGAGGCAGGCAGGAGGAATTAATGGCTTTCTGCTTGTGACAACAGTCCAAAGTTCTTGAAGGTTGTGTCTGTTGAAGGTGAGGAAATGGATCCTGGGCTAAAGATAAATCAGAGGGCCTGAGAGTCCCCCAGATCCAATCTCATCAGGACTTGCTACCTCAAGATTTGGAATTTGCTCCCAGACTTGAGGAAGTAGCCAGGTTGAAGGAGGACTTGGAAGACTGGTGTCCTTAGTCTTAGTCCAGCATAGTTGGGTATACATTTAGGTTTAGTGAATATCAGTGTTGATCTCTGCCTTGGAGAAGCTACATTTCTAAAGATTTATTTATAGGCATGTGACTTCCTTAACATTCTTTAAAATAAATCAGATGAACTTCACTTTGAATTTCAATGCAGCCTGGCATATACTCATAGCAGAGAACTTTTCTTTTGGTTTAGACTCCTGTCTGCAGCCCACAGCTAGATTTCTCAGTTAACTATTGTGATCCTGCAGGATTCAACCAACATGCTTCTTGGGTGGTGCTTAAGGACCTAGGTTGAATGAGTGGCTTACAGCTTGTTAGCCATTCTGACGTTCAGATTTTTTGCAGAATATCTTCTTTTGCTGGCAATTCTTCATCTTCTTCATGGGAACTTTTAAATCAACTACTCTTCACTTAGCCCAGTGTTGATATCTTAAAGAAGAAAATGAACTAGCAAGGACATGTGTGTAGTTTATTCATTCATTTAGTTAGGAAGTGTCCGTGAAGCACTTACTGTGAGAAAGCCTATGTAAATTGCTGAAACTGCCCTGCCCTGGGAGTTGTGGATTTTACTTCATTATTTCCAGTAACCTGGTTAACTCATCCTCAGTCCTAGTCCCCCCATCTATAAATACAGAGATGAGAACAGAGTCCCTAGATGCCTTTCTTGCTTTAGCATCAGTAGCAGTGAACTTGAGTTTTCTTCATCCTCTGGATTTAGGGAGGAAGCAAACTGGGGAGACAGTTGGAACTGAGTCCATTGCCAAGCCCTCACCAGATGGGACAAAGAAGAAAACCACCTTCTAAACAGCACAGGAGCAATTTCCCTCTTGCTGACTCACTGAGCATAAAAATATGGTGCAGTTGCTTTACTGGCTATCCCCTCACTCCTTGGTTCCCACATCCTCTGACTTTTACTCTGTCCCTTGATCCTTCAGTTGTGGCCTACTAAGCTTGGTTAGGTTAACTTACCTGGGACCTGACAGCCTGAATTCTCCAGCTCCCAATCTCCTTGCTGTCCTCTCTACTCACAGAGAAGGTGGCAGGAGAGTCCTAGGGGCTGGGGCATCATGCCTATGAGCTTAGCAGAAGAAAGAGAGCTTATTTTACCAGTGGGATTTGGATGAGTTCTACAAAATATTTAGGATAATTTGGATGCAAACTTTGAGAAAATTTTGAATCTCACCCCATTATATTTTATTTAGACTGCAGATTTTATCAAACTCTATAAAGACTGACAGTTAAAGAACAGAACTCAGAAGCCAGGAGACCAGAGAGCTTTTCTTGGTAAGTCTTTAAGTGGAAGACATTGTAAATATTCTAGAATAATCACAAGTCTAACTGTATGGTGTGTGCCCTGAGCCATGGACCCACACCATCCACTCATTCTGGAGTGTCATCTTTAAACAATTACTTCCCACAATGCTGGAATGGACCATCTGGTTACTAATATAGAGATAGTTAAAAATCTCAATTATTCTGAAGCAGAATGATTAGTTTATGGATCATTCAGACATCTTCTCATTTTTTATATTCTGAACTAAAAATTTCAGTAAAGCGGGGTATACAAAGCATACCACACTTGTCCTAGAACACACAACATGTTCCCAGTGTATATCAGTCACTCTCTCCCATTTGTTTATTCACTCAATAAACATGTGTAAGACCCTGCTATGCACCAGACTGTTTTCTGCACACAGCTGGGCAGAGGACATGGGTTTTGGTATGCTATGGGCTTTGTATCAGACAGGTGAATGAGGGACAAGAAGACAGCCCCCAATGGAGAGGGACAGGCATAGGAGATGCTGGTTGGCCACCATGCTCTCAGCAGCAGTTCTGGTAGATAAAGGACAAGTTTCAAAGGTGGCCCAGGTAGGCAGGGAGCGTCAGGGGTCTGAGGCAGTGGTCAAGGTGTCTCAGAAAGGAAAGACTGTGAAGTCCACAAGGTCTGCAGAAAATTTAAAACAGTAGTTAAAAGTTGCTCTTTTTAATTATCTGTTTATTTTTTACCAAGCCATACTAAGGAGGTTAATTATAAAATTATTCTTCCCCACCTCCCATAAAACAACTTTTGTTGGTCTGAATTCTAAACAACTGTGGTGGTCATGGTTATTTTAATAATATATATGCAAACTTCAGATTAGCACCTTTTAATTACTTAGCCTTTAATAAGCATTGTATTTCCCATGGAGCTTTGGGGAATTTCTATTTATAAAGTAGGTCCCCAGCCCATGTGCCTTTCAGAGCAAATTCTTGGTGGGAGGAATCTCTCAGCTGAATGGGTCTGTAGCTCCTGCAATGCCACAGATCACTGCACATACACAGCTGATTGCAATCAACAATGATAGTACAGAGGCTGTAAAGAGAACAAAATAAAACCTGAGTCACTTCAATTTCATCATTGTCAATGAACACTTTGAGTTTCTGGGTTGAAAGTTTAAAAAGGGAAAAGAGTGGGATTTGTGAGATGTGATATTTTTAGTAAGTGCAAGTTTTAGTTTACCTGGATCTAAGTAACATTTTTAAAAATTGGAGTTTCACCCACCCTTTTTAATAGTTTATGTTAAAACTAAAGAACAATATATATATATATATATATATATATATATATATATATATTAGTGTTGATTATGACATGATTATTTCTGAAAGTAATTCTGTTGTACCGAGGTCTGAGCTGCTGCAACAACCCACCTGGGGTACATGTATGCCAGGTGTGCAAAATCACACTGGGACACACTTCTCCCAGTGGGGCAGCTTGTCAATTTTCCAACTGTTCTTCATTAAAGGAATAGAACATCTAACCTGGGTTCAAATTCCACTCTCACACTTACTACCTGTGTGACCTTAGACAAGCTACTGAACCACTCTGTTGATATTGTGTGGCACAAACAATTGGTGACTGTTTCTTCAACTGTAACAAGGTGGGAAGTGCCAGTTTGCATCTCATGAGGCTTTATGGGGATTAAATAAATCAATACCTTGAAAACTCCCAGAACAGTGCATACCAGGAGGTATGAGTAAATACCACACAGGAGGCTGAGGAGCTGAGAACCCCTGAGACTCTGCCTCTAGCAACTGAAACTGAAACCTCAACTTTGCCACTTGCTGGCTTTGGGATCAGACCCCATCTCTTCACCTCTGGAGAGTTTCTCTTCCTCATTTGTCAAATGGGAAGATTAAGGGTCATGACACCATAATACTGCCATGAGAATTAAATTAAAGAAGACAATTGTTGTAAGCACATCCTATGGTGTCTGGTGTATAGACAAGAGTCCTATCCCTATGACTGCAATGAAACAGACAAAGGCAGAAATGAAAAGGAGAAAATCCTTGTTACATTTACTGGAGACTTAGAGCTTTCCTTTTTCAGAAACTTCTCCACCTTCTTTGTTTGGCTCCTTGGCTGGGTAAACAATTCTTCTAGAGCATTATTGATTTTTCCACTTCTTGTAAATGCGCAATATTTGTAGAAATTTCCCTGGCTGAATGTGTTCTTTAAGGTTATCTTGGGCGCTCCTCTTGACAACTGGCTCTGATAGGCAAAGGATGCTTGTCAGCATCTGCAAAGAGATAAATCACGCAGAGGAACCACACTTGCGGCAGGATCTCTTTACACATCGCATCTTTAGTCACAGCTCCCGGGGTGAAATGCAAAGTTGTAAATCCTGATACATGGCTGACCCATGTGATGTTCAAGATCCCTTTGGCATTTGCAACATTTTCAGAGGTTCCAATAAGTTTTCATAAAAATTTAGCCTTGTTTAGATTATATAATTTTATACAAATAAAAATGATCTATTTTACCTTACAAACCAAGATTCAATTTCCCATGAAATAAGAACAATAACAAAACAGTCATTTGAAAAAAAAAATATGTAGGTTGACTAGAGAATAAAAATATTTTTCTTTGGAAACTAACTAGGGATTCTTGAAGATTCCTGAGGATTATAGACTAGATCTGAAGAAACAGGCATGTCAAACATCCATTGAGAATCTACCAGGTGCCAGGTGTGTCCAGGTCCACACCAAGGACTCCTTGGACTGGAGGCTGGGATGCACTCATGCATCCTGCTCCAGGAGCACTCAGAAAAGCTGGACCCCATCTTTCCATGTCAGAACTGCTGCCTTTGCCTGACCCGGCTTTGGTTGGCACCACCAAACTAAAATGATTTAGAGCAGCAATTTTCAACCATTTTCATCAAGGCACACATAAACTAATTACTAAAATTCTGTAGCACACCAAAAAAAAAAATATATATATATATATATTGACAAAAAATTGCTTTAATTTTGACTCATTTACATTGGACAGCTATTGTGTTGGCTGTTGCCTATTTTTTATTTGTTAATGTAAGGGAAAAGAGGTCAGTGCCCCTGACTAGTCAAGTATTGCATGTTTTAAAAATTCTTGTAGCACACTGGTTGAAAATAGCTTAGAGCAAAGGAAAATGATACTTCTCACCTTCTGTAAGTGTGATCACTGGTCAAATGTGACACTAGCCATATAACTTTGGGCCAGAATCTTTCCTCTCTGGGCCTCCATTTTCTAATGTGCACATGGTGTCACATGCACGGGGCACACGAATTAAATGAGATAACCTAGTAAAGTGTTTGGCAGTGCTTCATCACCGTTGTCATTATTAGCCACATGAATACCGTCTTATTTACTACCTAACAGTTCTTACAATTCTGGTTATCCTTTTTTTTGCCCTTGTTGATTCTTAAGGGAGCCACCAGGAACACCCCAAATGGATGAAGAATCAGCACCATAGTACGTTCTCTAAAATCCCAAGGAAGAATCATGCCTGACAGCACTGCACTGGCACCCAATGAGGCCTGGCTGCCTGCCATCGTGGCCTGGGGGGACACATGGAAAGGGGCTGGTCAGAGCAAAGAGATGGGCATGGCCTTAGGTGTCCCTAACCCAGAAACTGATGTAGAAGTGTGTAGAGCATGGGGTGGTATGTGTATATCTTCAAAGCCATCACTGTGACCTAGGATCTCAATGTGTGCCCAGTGAGCTTTCAACCTGCCCTGAGATAGCAGAGTCCATGCCTAACTCAAAGGTTCCAACACTCTATGGCCCATCAGTGGTGCATCTTAATACCAATCCATCACCCCGCTCCTGAGCTCACAAGTTGTTGAGAGCATCTGTGACCAGCCAGCTTCATATGGGCACCCAGGGGCTTCTGCTCTGTAAGGGAACTGACACCTCCATAGGCCCAGACCCTGCTGGCTGGGGTAAGGATAGAAGAGCTGGCAGGTGCACTCCATCTTAACTGTTACCCAAAGGTGCCATCAGTAGGCTTATATGCCCATGGTTGTGGAGCATGGACATGCCAGGTGCAGGTCCTGGCTCAGAGCCAGGACTGTCTCCCTGAATGTGAGACAAAGCTTGTCTGTGGCTGTATAGCATTCAGTTGCATCCATCAAGTACTGAGTTTTCTATTCTGTGGGGGTTGTGCAACTCCCAGAGCACCCTAGTGGCCCTAGAGTCTGATTCTACTTAGATATTCTGCAGAAACATGGAGCCCTTCCTATTGTTCTGAAGGGCAAGGCCAGAGGTCAGAGCCCCTGTTTCCAGATGCAGGTGCCCTGTAAGTTCTGCTGTCATGCTTGGTCCAAGCTCTGACTTCAGGGAATGATGCAACTCTCCTGTGCCCTTGTTTCCCATTTATCCTGTGCCCTTGTTTCCCAGTGTGAAACCCTGACTCTCTTCACACAGTGGGAAGAGGTGAGAACAAAAAAGCCAGAAGACAAAGGAACAAAGCAAGACTAGCCCAGCAACCAACTGCATCCATTGCTTGGATCATGGTTCTTAGTGTGCAAACAGGTGAAGAGTGCTCCTGTTCTTACATCTCAAAAAGAATGGGATGACTACACTGGCCGGTTTGGCTCAGTCGGTCTGTGGACCAGAGAATCCTGGGTTCGGTGTCCACTAACAGCATGCACCTCAGTTGCGGTTAATCCCTGGCCCCAGTTGGGGTTGTGCAGGTGGTAACCAGTATTTGTGTCTCTCTCACAACGATGTTTCTCTTTCTCTCTCTCTCCCTTTCTCCCTCTCTCCCTCCTGCTCTATCTGAAGATAAATGCAAAAATGTCCTTGAGTGAGAATTAAAAAAAATAAAAATGGGCTGACTGAATTTAGTACAAGGCAGTCATTTTGAAAGTAAATCAGGTTGCATTTTTATATCCCTTTTCTTGAAATAACAAACATTTGCCTTTTTATGAACCTCCCCCCCCTCAGTTTTCATGTCTCTACCTCTTGATGGGAAGGCTCCAAGGAGAAAAAGGCAGGGCAAACAGGACGAGGTGGGAATCCCTGTAACCAGAGAGAGGCCCCAGGTAACACAGGCAGGTGCTGGCAATTGCAGTTGTGGTGACAAGGTGAGAGTGGGGGTGGGTGGGAGTCCTTATAAATTAGGCATTCCAACCATGACAAAAGAGCACAATTGACACCCCAGTGCCAGCACCTAATCTTGTTAAACTGACCGAGAATCAAAACAATGAGGGTCTCAGGTGTGCAGAGGCTCCACATCTCCATTTCCAGAGGTTTCTGATAATGTGGCTGCCCATAACATAGACTTGGCTGCCTAAGCTTGGGCGTATTAGTCTAATTCTATTTTACTGGTAGCTTAGTTTCATCATCAAATGAAACATGAGACTCATTTTCCATAAATATCCTGGATTATGTCGGGTTTCCCTCTGAAATTCTGAATCACACAGTCCACACCCTACCTTTCTCCAATACCAAAGGGAAACACTTCTCTTTGCAGGAAACATTTCTGTCTGTTTCCTCTGAGAGTCCTAGTTATCTCATCTACCTTTTCTAGTTCTCTCTAGAAGATAAAAGTTGGAAAGTGACCTTACATCAGCTCTGTGAAAATATAACAGTGTTCTTGGGCCTCTGCTATATTTGATATCTCTCAGCTGGAGGTACCACTCCTAGTCAGTGAACACAAGTAACAGTAAACTTTTTTACTGTGGCCTTGTAGCATAAAGTGGGAGGGAGGGAGGGAGAGAGACAGAGAGAAACATCGATGTGATAGAGCCACATCGACTGGTTGCTTCCTGCACAACCCAATCAGGGCCGGGGACAAACTGCAACCGAGGTACGTGCCCTTGACGAGAATCAAACCCCTGACTCATTGGTCCGTGAGCCAATGCTCTAACCACTGAGCTAAACCAGCCAGGGCAACAGCAAATTTTTTAACAATTTTTAGACATTGGCCTCTTTGTCTGAATGAGAACTGTTGGTCCCAGGGTGGGTCCAGCTCATGCATATTTTCTGTTAGACCCACACAATGTTCTTAAAATTATGAATTAATTAACACTATTTAAGAAGTATAAGATTTTACATAAAGATCTGGATTTCTGACTTCTCTTAAAAAAATATAAGTGTCTGGCAATATTAGCCCCTTTCTGACCCAGCCATCAATGGCTATGCCAGTACCTCATGGGCGCTGCCTTGCTAGTTTCTGTAGTCCTGGAGGCCTCAACTTTACTAAATATCAACCCAGTAGCCCTCCTGCCTTCCATCTAAAGCCATGAAAGTTAGTTCTTCAGCTGGAATTTATCTGGGGTCTATTTCAAATTCTGTATTTTTCTCTATATGAAGTGGGGTATGTAGAGAGTCCTAATTATAATGTCTTATTCTTGATGCCTCTCCAATACACACACTCTCTTATTCTTCCTGAGACAAGCTCAATTGTGTATCTTTTGGCAATAAGCTTTAGAAGATGCCAGAAGACTCCTCTCTCCAAGGTAAAACCTGGACAAGTCTGAACCAGCACCTGGATGGGATCAGACATATGTCACTGATTATCTATGTGATGTGAGGGGAAGTACTGGGTGCTTCTGGGAAATTTCCCCCTGCCCTGCAATAGAGAGTTGAGAAACAGTCATCCAGGCTTCTGAATGATCTTCTGAGTGCTAGTTTGCAAAAAGTCAGGATAAACTGGCATGCTCAGAAAAGTGGAACAAGAACAGGAAAGGAGCCTGGGTCCTCAAAGGACTCACTGAATTGCTGACTTAGCCACACAAGTCACCCCACCTGAGACTTCTTGTAGGAAATTATTAGCATTTTTAATTGTTTGAGCAACTTATACTTTGGCTGTTATTTTCAGCTGAAAGAATTCTTTCCAGATTTTAAGTCTTAAAGATTTTACTCTACAGGGCAAGCTCTGACCCTGAAGCCTTTCAAGTCCTTCCTGGGTCTGCAGACATTTGGTCTTTTTGCTGACTCAGAGTTACACAACAATTCTATGGGTCAAACTCAGCTTCCCGTGTACATATTGGAAGACAGAAAAGTCTTCTAGTTGGATTATTTCTGGGGGAAGAGTGAGCCTCCCACTTTGGGTGCTGATGATGAAAAAGGCAGCTTCATGAAGGAGGAAGGTGGCTGCTTATACATTCAGATATTCCAAGTGGTGGCTTTGAAGGGCTGACAATGAAACACTCTGGAGAGACCCACTTTTGTCTGCTTGTCTATATTCCAAAAGCCTGTCCTACAACTGAGGGCCCAGTGAAATCAGGAGCAGTTGAGGGCACAGAGAAGCAG